CTCTACCATGCGCAGTACATTCTCCATCTTTACCCCCAACAGCTTAATCAAAACCACATGAAGATTAAAGGTGTTGAGGTCTGTCATCACAGCTCCACACAACAGAACAATTTTCTGGAAGATCGATTCAGTCCAAAGGTGAAAGGGTAGACCTACGATCTTCACCACAGGATTTTCGTCAAGCTCAACTAAGTTAGAAACTAGGCTCCACCTTCGAATATCAACAAAGCCTTCCCTGGTCTGGACTTGGATTGCATAAACATCTCTCAAGGGGCCTCAAGGTCTAATATCGCCAAACAGTCTTGGAAAGGCTTAAGTATTAGACCTCCTTCAATTTTTAGTTTCACCCTTAAATCTTCGGCAAGTTCCTTCCAATTAACAACCTTCCACTTGGTGGCTACAACAAGTCTTTTGTTCCATTGATCTTTTGTAACAGTTGTCATGAGTTCGGGTGCTGTTACGTAGCAAGGCATCTGCACTTTTTCCTTGTCACCACCCTTCATGAGATTTTTGTTCTTCCCTGAGTGTTGGATTCCTTGTTGGGTTTTCAAATCTTGCTGGGTTTTCACATTTTGCAGGACTGAATCCTTCCTCCATCTTCAGGGTTCAAATCTTAAGACCACCTTGAGAATTAGCATCAATTAGGAAACAAAAAATAGTATCCTACCTTGCCAAAATCAACGGTCCTGAATTCTAATTGTATCCTCTCTAATATCTACTCTCGAAGAGTGGGAAATTCTGTATCACTATCGCAAACTCAATAAGAGCTTACAAATTTACAAGGAAACTTCATGGATGTTGAAGAAAGAATACAAACTTAGAATAGAAAGATTACTCAAGTGTTCAGTATTAATTCTGAAACTTAAAGATGCATAGATCATCTCACTAATAACAGACATTGATTCCTTGATATCGCTACAGTAGCCATGTTTTCACTTCATCAGCTCAATCAAAGCATGCAAGTTTTTTGCTCTATCATCTATCATCTATCATCCACGCATTTAATCTTGTTTATGGAATTTTAAAGGAATGTCAAAGCAGAATAGAGAATCTAGATAATATAGTTTATAGATATAATGAAATAATACCAAAAGCTAAAGTGTAACTCTCTCTTTTCCTATTACTATTTAAAAGAAAATAAAAAGTTAGAAGGAAGATCAGATAAAACACCTAAAAATCCCATTGTAGATTTGAGGACATACAAACAATTTCTATGCAAATTTGCATTGGTTTCAGTAGATCAACCTTCACCTTCTTAAGTCCAAGCTTCTCTAGGTTCCAAGGCAATAGGAGCTACATGAATTAAAAAACGAAACTAATAACAAACGCAATTGAAGAGTAACATCAAAAATGAAGAGAAGAATTGTAAATCCAGTGACACTAAAGCCATGTGAATGAAGGACAGCTACTGAACTAAACAACAAAAATATGATCAAAGATTCAAAGAACAAAGTAACTATTTATTGGAATCATAAACATATGAAATAAAAAATAAAAATTGGATTACCTTTGCAGGATATGACCTAAGGATCTTCAGTTGAGAATGACATGATTTAGTAACTACAAAGTGATTAAACTTGAAGCAATGAAGAACAGCAGGTAGTTTATCTGTTTAATAACATTTATTGTTATTATTAAAAAAAAAAAAGTTTGTAGCGAGAAAGACCTGATCTTAACTCTAACCACTGTAACTCCATATGATTTCAATTGTTCTTTCATATAGATGAGCATGGAGTTGATAACTCTTTGTTCTCTTCTTAAAATATCAATTCCTTCAAGTTATTTGATTTTTCAAAGGAAATCTTCTATGTTCTATTCATGCATCCAACTGGCTAATAGAATATATTTTTGTTTATTAAGTGGGAATGTGATCAAGCAGCACAGGCATGTCTCCATGGGCATTAGAAGCCAACTACCATATTGGAACCCAGTCTTCTTTTCTTTCCTTTTTTCTTTGATCAATACTTCCTTTTTTTGATGAATCATGAAGTATTTTATTAAGATAAATAAATAAACTGACAAGTGGATACAAAACAGAGTTCCCCCAGAAGGCGTGAGTTGCTGCCTAAAAAACAAAGTAAAATTACATTTGAGCCCAGAATAAGTGATCCCTATTCACCCCTTGCTTAGCTAGTAGGTCAGCCCATTTGCCGACCTCCTGACTCTCACTGTGAGATTAGAAGTAAGCCATTTGAATCTCCTCATCTCTCCCCTAAAAGACCAAGCTACTGCCTCCGGTTCTTTCCCCCTAACCTTTGGCGTCACAGGAGAATACCACACTTCTTTAGCAGGAAAAGAGACATGCACAACAGAAGGCTGAGCTAAGGCATTGATAATAGAGGAACAAGAGAAAGTCCATAAAGGAGATACTTTCCAAATTCTACTGTCTGGGCAAGAAAGATCTAGGAAAACTGAACTCAACACAGTGAACAACTCATCTGCATATTGTTCCAGGACCCTTCCGATACACCCCTACAGTGGGTGTATCGGGGGTCTGACCGGTTCAGGGGTGGAGGAGCCCTAAACCGGCCCCCCTGAACCAGTTTCGGAAAAAAAAAACAAAAAGTAAAAAACAAGGTATCGATTCACCCGATACGCCCCTACCGGCATATCGATATTTTGAACCTTGCCTCAAACACACTAAGTGAGGAGATGATTTTGAATTTATTTAGGGAAAGAGAATATGTAATCAGGAATCTATCCTCAAGGGGGGTGTTCCCAAGCCAAAGATCCTCCCAAAAGAGAATTTTATTACCCGAGCACACATCAAATCTGATGAAAGGCCGAAAGGAAGGCAAGAACCCAACAATGGCTCTCCAAGGGGAGAAATGAGAAGCCCTAGGGTCGACGCCAGCATCCCATCCATGTGACAAACTAACAATTAATAGAATTTCATTGATTTAAGTCCCAACATGTTGGGATGAATTGACTTGCATCTAGGGACACAAGACCACTAGATGTCATTTGGGGCCCTCATAACTTGTCACATCACATGTCATCTTGGGAACAGACCTAGGATCGACACCAGCATCCCATCCAGCAATGGCTTTCCAATGAGAAGCCAAATATCTGTCATGTGACAAGTTATGAGGGCCCCAAATGACATCTAGTGGTCCTATGTTCCTAGATGCAAGTCAGTTCATCCCAACATGTTGGGATTTAAATCAATGAAATTTTATTAAAGAGCGAAAATTATTAAAGTTGGTCCACTTCTTTCTCATCCTCCTCTGACGATTTAAGTCCCAACATGTTGGGATGAATTGACTTGCATCTAGGGACACAGGACCACTAGATGTCATCTGGGGCCCTCATAACTTGTTACATGACAGTCTCAGAATATGAAGACTGAAGCAGAAGACTTCTAAATCTAACACAAAACAATAGACTTTAGCTACAAATATAAACAAGCAAATAAAGAAGAGATAATAGAAGAGGAAGCAAGTAATTCTATTATAGTGGCTGGCTATGGCAGAAACAGAAAAGAGAATTCTTTATTTAATTGAATGGAATAATTTGCTCTATACAAAACCTGTTGATGCCCTACTCCTACTTAGACTCCAAGACTCTAATGTGTACTTGTATTCAAACTTCAAACAAATGGTATAAACTTTCTTTTCAAACTAGGACACTATAACTCTCTACCCCACTAAACATAAGAAATTAGAAGTTACTAAAAA